AAAATTAAATGAAGTATTGCTTTGTTCTCCTGGCCTAGGCAGGCTCCCTGGTCAAACCCGCTTTATGGTTAACAGTCTCACCCAGCAATGCCCATTCTTCCTCCTTCTTGTCCTCCAGCATCAAAGCCTCAGCTTGAACTTCAGAGTGTAGGAGAACTCAGGCCACACTCTGTTGCCTGCTTCCCCCTCCAGCCCCATCCAGCCTAGAACAAATGGGGGAGAAGCAGCATCTTCCTACCAAAGACAGGATTCTCCTTCTAAACATGTGCAAGGGTGAACAGGCTTCACTTTCTGTCTCCCTTAAAGAATGACATGCTGTTCAGATAAATGTGGCCTGCCAGATCAGATGGCCTGCCAAGAACAGTGATGCAGACCCCTGCATCAGTCAGAACATTCTAATTTAACATGGAGAAAGGCACACCCTGAAGTCATCCATACTTCAACATCTTTGCCAGTTAAGCATGTATTTTCTTACCTGCTTGACTGTTTCCATTGGTGAGATCAACTTCTCCAGCTGAGATGCTCCCTTACTGAAAGTTAATTCTCTGTAAGAGGGACCTCTGGAAGTCCCAGGTTGGCAGCTAGATTTTATACTACCTGCAGCTGCTCTGAGATGAAGTGGTTTCTGCAAGAAGTCTAGCATTTTTCTACAAAGTCAATCAGTCAGACCTACTGCTCACCCTGAGGTCAGTGCAAGTATGCAATAGGCACATTGATCCTTACTGATCCAGGAAGGCTGGCTGAGCCTTGCAGGGCTGCAGGTCCCAGTGTGCCGTCCTGGAGCAGCATAGGCACTTTGCGACTTATTCCCTCAGCCCCTTTCAACAACTGTCCCAGCAGAGGTGTCTGAAGGAAGGCAGGTTAAATCTGCACCTCCACAAACCGAACTGCCTAGTGAGAGGCTTGTGTGTAAGCTGACAGCACAAGGAAAGCAGGAGGAGTCTAAGTGGTGCTTCTTCAGTTGCCCTAAACCAGGGGTAGAGTCCTTCATCTTCAGGAGCTCTGGCAACATTGGTGCATTTTTAACACTCCTGGCTGAGAGGGGCAGAAGTGGCAAGATTTGTAGTTCAGTTCTGCCACTCTGTAGTGGAGGTGCTGTCTGACTGTCACTTTGGCTCTTCTGAGCCACAGTGGGTGTCTATGTTGACTGTCTCTTGCTGACGCTTCCTCCAGCTCAGCTCCCCCAGCTGTCCCTGACTGCTTGAACAGAGCAGGTTTCCTCTGTCAGTCCTTTTTTGTAGTCAGGTGAGATACAGAAAAGAAGAAAAATGGTTACTTACGCTCTGGTAGTTGTGACTGTTCCAGGCACATTGTCCATAGAGGCACCACAAGCAATCTCTTGTCCTTCACTCTGAAGGAGTCTTTACTGTTGGCAAGCCTGGGAGGGCAGACAGACATCCTGTGCTTAGTTTGCTCTATGACCACCCTGAGCAGCAGCAGCTCCTGGCTTCCTTGGGCTGCACATGTTCATCCTCCTTCTTCCCAAACCAGGATGCCAGTCTGAGTTTCAGCTCCCCAGTCCTCACATTGTGCTCCCAGCTAGGACATCCACTCTTGCCCACATATTTCTCTCCCATGGCCCTGCTCTCCCTTTCATCAGCCTCAGCAAACCTTGCCAATTCCTTCACATTAACATCTAAAACCCTGAGATGGGAGCACAGGTTTGGGAACAGCAGGGCTACAGCAGCCACTGAAGAAGGAGGTTGCCACTTCTCAAAGCAGCACGTTGATGGCAGTGACACAGGTAATAGCTCTTGCCCCACAAGGGAGTGAGGAGCAGAAGTGGGAGCTGTTGTTGCAGCAGAACACATTAGGTGGTGCGATGACATGCGTGGCACTGTTCAGGAGCCCTTTGCCAGTAGCAGTTGGGAGGGGTGCACAGGCACAGCCTGGATGGACATTACTGTCTTCAGAGAACTTGATCCTGTTCATGTGAGTACATGCTCACCTGGGATCTGTGTGGACAGCACTTCTTAAAGAATCACAGTTTCCATAGGGTAAGTAACTGCTTTTCATTTTGTTTCCTTACAGAAATACTTAAAACCCAGGATGACTCTGGTTATACTATTAAATCCTTAATCAGGTCCACCGTTATTATGACTCTAATGTTTCTAGGACCCTTACGCTGTTTTAAAACTGATTAATTTCAGGAATTGAAGCTTGGTTCACTGTTCTGTGTACAAGGCGTAATGACAGATGCTGTGTTCTCAATATTGTGTTCTCATTATTGTTCTCTTGTTTTGAAAGAAAATAACCATAAAACTGGTGTTTTCCTTTACTGTGGTTGCACACTCTTGAGAAAAGTAAGAAATGCAAGCTAGGAGGAAGATAATTGGTTGTATTCATGTAATGTCTTCATTATCCTTTTAGTTTACATATCAGGTAATGTTTTAAAATATTTTCAAGTGCAGCTATTTTTTCAGATTTTTAAAGATGAACTGTGAATTTTGAAAAAAAGTATGTTACTCTTTAGTATTAAAAACAGGAATAAATTATTTAGCTTAAGGTTTGAGGGCTTTTTTTTTCTTTTTGACACCTTAAATAGATGGTAGAAATTCAAATATTGTCTAACCTGGAATTATCTGGTTTGTTGGAGATTTAGCAAAATTAGTGTCTCGTGGATACTGGAATATACGATAAATTCTAAGAATTATGTGACAAATTATAGAAGTTGTATTTTGTTACTAGTTCCAAGTGGGTTTTAGGCATGTGCAAGTGACAATGCTTTTTGCAGTGCAATGCTTCTCTACTTCATGTGGAGAATAATTTGAACTTTCTTATTCATTAAAAATCATTCCTAACTCATCTAGTTGAGAAGAAAACTTGTAACTAAAGAAAACACTGTAACTATAAGTAGTTACTAAAAGAATGTTACACCTTTGTCCAGTATTCTGCCTCAGAGATTTTTAGCACTAGAAGCTCCTAAGATAGGAGTTCTAAAAGTCAGCATTATCATAGACAACTTTTATATTCTGTGCATTAAGAAGAAAATCTTTTATCAAGTAGTTGATTTATTGTTGCAAAACATAGGAATTATTTTCTGTTTTCACTTAATCCTGTCAAATGTAGCAGATGTTTTCATTATTCATACAAACTTATCATTTCTTGTGTGTATGTTGTTAAGCTCTTTGCTTAGTCATGGTCTTGTAGAAGTTGAGATCCCAGCTAACTGTAGGTATAGCATTGCCCTCATCTGGATTCACTGCACTGTGATTTTGCTATATTCATAAGGTAATGAATAAGAGCACCTGACTTTCCTCCTACATTCTCTTCAGCATTTTACCTACATCTGGTGTTTATCCTATTTACTTGTTCCAGTTGCCTCAGTTTCCCCTGATACGATAATCTTTCCATGCCTCTAATGGCCCATCTCTGAGGACATCTGCTTTTTGCTAGAGTGACCTAGATGTGTGGTGAGAATTGAGTGCCATGAGCATTTAAGAGAAAATATTGAATAATGTTTGAGAGGGCATTATAATATTTTAGATAGAATTTGGGGGTTTTTTTGAACAGGAAAAATCTGTAAATGCCAATACTGGAGAGAGTAAGTCCTCATGGACTTAGTCCATTACCTTTATGTGGCTGTCTTAAATACTGTCTACATATTGTGAGCTACGTTATTAGAAACACCTGGATAATGAAGCTATTCCTTTCTGCTGCGATAATGGAAGATGTTGAGTTAGGCATCACAGGGTGACTAATTTATAAGGGTCTTGCTGGGAGAAGGAGTGAGGAGTCATCAGCATTTTTTCCCTGAAACAAGGTGATTTGGAGACCTCCTAAAGAGGAGGTGAGGGTTTTGCTCTCTTTCTTGCTCATTAGTTAGCAAAGCTTTCACTTTTTCTTTGGGTACTGGAGCTGTTTCTACCTCCTGCCTGTGTGTCAGAGCCCCAGATAAACTCTCCTCAGCTGTTGGAGAGATTTCAGTCAATTGCTTTGAAGCACTTTTGCCTTCAGTAAGTGTTCAACGACACCGGTTTGCTCATGTTTGTGCTTACCAGCAGAGGAGGCTGGGACTGTACGAAGCTGAACTTGGTACCAAAAGGAAGAATACTTCACTGGGGTGAATGGGAAGTGAGAAGGGAAAATGCTTTGTGTGGGGGAAAATGTTACATTACTCTGGGGCTCCTGCCAAATACCTTCAGCTTGCTATGCCACGTGGGGTATGTGCGCTGTATAGGGCTTGGCTCTTACATATCTGGAAGAGTTGGAGGGGATAAACCTCCCCATTACAGTGAGGCGCTGAACATGTTTTCCACATATATCTGTGTCATCCGGGAGGCCTTCTAGCAAGAAAAGGAAGACATGCTGCAAATTCACAAAAGGATGGTGGCAGGGAAAGGGGAGGTATAAGGGAAATTCCAGAAAAGCCCTCTGGATTTGCTCAGGCACACCTAGACTTGCCCTCTATTGGGATTTACCTGTAGCATGTACATAAAATTAAGAGGCTTTATTATTTTTTTTAAATTAATTTTATTTTCCTTTGCAGGTCACCTTTTAAGCTGCTATTTCCTGTATAATTAAGCAGAATGAAGGCATTAGATTCTAGTAAAGTTGGCCCTAATCCAGAAATCTTCTCTTATTCAGTTCTTTCTGAGTAAGAAACTCAAGTCTGGGCCCAGCATTTCATGTGTCTTGTTGTTATTTCTAAATTATTTCTGGTCTGTGGATTTTTTGTTTTGTTTTGTTTTTATCTTTATTGAAAACTCCTTTTCTCTTGTCTAATTTTATCTCCTTATGTGTTACTGTCCAGTGTAGCGTTAGTTGAAATGATGTAAGTATGCTGCAAATTGAAGTGCATAATTGCTACTGATAATGCAAGAACGATTGATTCCTACAGTTTATAATTAACAGTACATAATGTTCTGTGCATGGGTTGGATCTATCCCTTTCAACTTTTCCTTTCCAGTTCTTTCCAACCCCCAGTCTTGCCAAATCCCAGCCTTTCTGAATATACTGGTTTTGCTGGAGTCTAGTCCATTCTTCCTTTTGTTTTTCAGACCAGTAAAAATGGGAAGTACTGGATTCTGGTTTCCTCCAAGAAGAGTCAGCGGAACTGGTTAAGACCAAAATCTGAGGACTTTAGTGGGCAAACATCAGGTGTGCATTGAACAGAGGCTGCTTTAAGTATATGCTTCTTTAAAAATAGAATTATATATGAGCTTTTGTGTAATGTGTTTGTTATATTTGATACTGCATATAATCATTCATCCTGCAGTTGTGAAAGCACCAATAAGAATGAGGATTTTAAGTTATAATATGTTGAGACACAAACAGGCAATATTACTCATAAAATTCTTTCAGCTGGTCTTTGGAAAGTGTAATATTTGAGGATCAGTGTTTTTTTAAATTTTATCTCCATTGCTCAGTCTATATATCCACAAGAAAAAAAAAAAAAAAGTGGTTATTTGCTATTCAGAGATCAATACTGAAGTTCTTAATTGTCTCATCTGTTGAGAAATGGTACTGAGATAATAGTGCATACATGCTTTTTAATAAAACACTGTCATTGTCAAAGATTGGATCCACACTTTGTTCTAATGATGCATTTTTAAGGACACTTAAACACAGTTCAAAGTCAGCTTAATTAGTTTTGATCATAGAGGAACAAAACTTGAATTCTTCATCCATGTGAATGTTCTGAGTTACTTCTGGTACAGCAACTAGGTTACCTGAAGTTTTGGAGAAGGTAACAGTAATGTTATATTGGCCTGACTATAGGATGGCCTCAAGCCTGAGGTGTGATCTTTGCATTGAGAAAAGGAGTGAGAAGTTGTCAGAGTTGTTAATTTAACAATTAAGCCTCATATGCTGTTCCACAACAAACACTGCTTTTGGCCTCAGATCAGACCCTGTATATCACCCTTCTGCATGGCCTAACATCCTGCAGTCTCCCCAGCTTGATGCACGTTCAGTTCCTCTGCACCTGCTTCCAGCATTACCAGCTCACCCCTATCCTCGTGTCCTTAGATATTCCCAACCCCTCTGCAGCGCTCCCTACGCCTCCCTGGCCCCACAGCCCTGTCCTAGTTCTGTCCGTTGTCCTTCCCTGTATCCTGCCAGCTGTGCCTGCTTCCCTTGTCACTGACTGGGCACAGAGGCCACTTGCTGCTGAGCTCTGGACCCAGCATGGTGGAATTAACCACACTCCCCTGCAGCAAACTGTGGAGGCACTTCCCTTGCCCTTTGCCGCTAATGCTGCCTGCCCTGTCCCAGACTAGGTGTGGATTTGGTGGGGAGGTGAAAAGGGTCATAGCCCTTCCCCAGTGAGACTGTAGGTGCCCTGGCCACATTGTGAGGGCCACGGCTGCTGCACTGTCAGCTCTGTGTGGCAGGTCTCATATAGGTGCCTCTGTGCTCTACGTAAGTGTAGATTGGGTTGGATTTTTTTTCTTCCCCCAAACATCATTTGTCAGGAGAGATTAGGCTAAAACAAGATTTCATTCTGTATTCAGGCCAATATGTGTAGAAGACCAGTGTGTTCAGTTACAGGAAAGCAAAATTAATTTTATTACCAGATTCTGATTGAATCATATATTGAAAAAAATCTTTCAATCCACAAATATATCAGCACTTTGATGTGAATCAGACCCTCTTTTTGATTGCATTGGTGGCTTCACTGAAATCTCTGGAACTGGTCTTCATTTACTTTTACTGCAGAAAATTATTGCTCCCAAGTCTCCAAACAACTGATTCATTTTTTCACTTATGAACTAGATAGTTGATTATGAGACAGAAAATAAAATTAAGCTGATACTTTGAAGACCTGTGCATGTTCCCACTCATGGAACTGATGTCTCTAGGCTTTGTCCCATGAGCAGGAATGACTCCGAGACAAATCTGAAATCATGAGTCCTTAAAGAAAAACCTTTTCTGTCACTGGGTATCTTTGAAGAGGTTAGGGGTTCCATATGAAATTTGGGGGAGTAAAGGTGGTCTTACCAAACTTGTTGCTTAAAGAATGTAGCATAGTTTAACCTGCCATTCAAGAACTTGAGGGTTGAAAGGCAGCAGATTTCCATCTTGGTGTGCCAGTACTTCTCTCCTCTTGTAAAGACAAGGGAAGAGTGATGGGGAGGAGGGAGGAAGAGGCATAGACAAAGACGTACTCTGTGTACATGTTTCAAATGGAGATCTCAGCCTGAAGATTTCATAAAATGCAGACATTAAAGAGGTGCATCCCCTGCTCCCCCTACTGCCCCTCCAGTCCTGCCTTGCACTGAGAAGAACACAGGCTCTGCTTCCTCCTCACTTTCTTCCAGAACCACACTGGGGCTCTTGCAAGGACTGTTTAGATTTGCCCCCATCACACCTGGGTGCTGCTCTCCGCTCCCCTCTGGAGTGGTTGGCTCCCTCCATCTCTGCTGAGCCTCAGCAGGAGAGAGAAGACAGCTGAGACCCGGCCCAGGCCGCTCCAAGCTAGCCAGCCTCCCCTCGCTGCCAGCGGGGAAGAGTCCGTTTTGTTTGTCAGGGAGGTGGTATTAGGTTGGAGCAGCTGCGGCCTGGTGCTTGCTGCCCCGCTCCCGGCCGGCCGCCCGGCTCCACCTGTCCCAGCAGCTGCTGGCTTCCCCTGCCCTGCTGCGGGGGGCTGAGGGAATAAGGTTGTGAGGTGTGATTT